ACGAAACAACAAAATCGTGAAATTATATGTTCGTTTCATTGAGGTATTAAAGATGATATCATCATTTTATGAGATGCATTTCTTTTTTAAATATTACATTTTTTGGGGTAATACTCACGAGGGTGTACAAAACTTTCGTTACATGCTTTAGTGGTAGTTTGTTTGCCTCACTATTTCTCTCTATATATAAAGTGTGTGTCTGTCGGTATTAGGGATATTTTACATACAATTATAAATATATTTTATTAGATACTAATAGAAACAAATATAATTTTATTAGTTAACATATATATGTTTGATGGAGAAAAATGTGTGTTTTATTAGAATGACCTTCACTAATTACTACTTCATACATTACTTAAAGGCTTTATATAAAGCAAATTTCTTTGAACAAAACGGTATACAATAAACGTTCATTTTTTAGTATTTTGTCTTTCTGCCAAAAATACAGAAAAATGATAAATTACTGTACATGTTACGAAGCTAGGTTTATGTCTGAGATTTCAATTTGGCTGTTAGTTACGACATCCGTGTAGGCGAGTGTTTAATTACAGGAGGAAAGAAGAAGATAGAGCGGGAAAAGAAAACATGTGATGTAAGTACATAGGCTTCAGTATATAAATATTGCATTTTACCTGTTATATATATATATATATATAAGCTACAAGAACCGAAAAGAGAGGTTAATAGAACTTCTTAGGCTTTCATTGCGATATAATGGGATCTAATAGCAAGCCTTGTAAATGCATAAATAAACCCCCAGGCTCATCTTCAGAATTTGTGAGCTAAATACACAGACCTCGTCTTTAGTTAATTATCGAAGTATATACGACTAACTCCCCTTCAGGAAATAATCTAAGAATGTACGCCATTTTTAAAGCAATATTAAACCATTTTTAGGAATATATTTATCATTCTTTGTGTTCAGTGTCTGCCATTTAAAATTTAATTAGCCATAGTTACAAGTATGTATTCTTATTTATATAAACTTTACTGAATAAATAAAGGGATTCTAGAGGGATATAGAAAAGTTGCAAGACAAAGATAAAAATATAAAATGAATAATCTATGAAAATAAATCCATGCTTAAAATGAATGTCTCTAATTTTGTAAAAGAAAAGAAGTCTAGAATTAAGATTGCTTTCTTTTGACCAAAAATAAAGCATTATTTTAACCACCACGAATAAACTTTATGGCAATAATAGAACAACTTGGTAAATGGAGTTAAAGTAAACTGCTATTGAAAAACTAAGTTAGTACAGTTATGTTGATAAAACGCTGATAATAATATTAGCCGATCTTAAAAACATTTCGATGACAAACTTAGATAGAGGTGAATATGTTATAAACATACCCATCTAAGTATAGTTACAAAGTTTGCGAATGTAGATAAAAAAAAGGTCATATAGTCAGCAACTTGCACAAACTGTTTTAGTCACGTAAATAATTTCATTTTCCCATTAGGTACAATATTTCTTATAATCATTAAAACAAACTAGACCAAGTTTAACTGTATGTAAATGTTAATATGCCATGAACACGAAACTAGGTTGTTGTTATTTTTAATGAGGTACACATATACTTTAAATCGCTAGAAATCAAATAATTATTCTTACATATTTAACATATAAATAGGAGAAAATATCTTTATGAATTAAACAAGAAATTCAATCGCTCTTTAAACGAAAATAAATATTAGTATGAAATAAGAACGAATCTAGGAATCAGTCTCACAAACCAGGAAATAGTGCTTATCGCAAAGTCATACATCTGTCTTACGCAGGGAATCGAATCCCGTATCTTAGCGATTTAAGTTCGTTAACTTACCGCTGACCCAACGGAAGATAGCCAAGAAGAAAGGAATATTGATTTGAAATAAGAACGAAACTACGCTTTTGTGTTAAAGGTCAAGAGATATTGAACAAATTCATAAAATGTTAAGTTTTGCTTCAAAAGGAAGCAAATATTGTTATTAACTCACCAATAAATTAGACTTTGAATATTTATACTTTATTATATTATACAAAAGTACACATGCTTAAGCAATATAGATTTCTTTGCGAGTTAAGGAGATGAGCTGATGATTTTTATAATAAAATATCCTTACAGTAAACAATTTTGAAATAAAAGATTACAAAACGCGCTGTAAAATGCATTGTTTACTGTAATTTATATGTAAGCGTAAGTCCCAAAGTTAGTTAAAGGAACAAGCTAGTTAACAAAAAAGCGTTTCTTGATAAAGAACGAAAAACATTTTACATTGAATTACTTCATTTTACTAATTGGAATGCGTAAACTTTGATAATAGAACATCACATCAAAATAAGCTGATAAAGAAAAAAACTACTAATATAAAAATCAATTAACTGTAAATGGCTTTTTTATAAAAATTACAATACATGTCTCTTTGGAATCAGAATTAGTAGAATAATAAAACATTTCCGTGTTTATAACTTTAATAAACAAAAGCTACATAGGTAGCTCGCGGTCAGCATGATCGTGTAATTTTAACATTAATGAATATTTTGTTTTGTTTTTAGTAATGCAAGTTCAATTAACTTCTAGCCTTGCATGCCATAGTGGTTATGGCGCTCAACACGCAACATGCAGGTCGTGAGTTCGAATTCTATCACCGAACATGCTCGCTCTTTCAGCCTTAGGAGCATTATAATGTGATGGTCAATCCAATTATTCGATTAGAATAGCCCAAGAGTTGGCAGGGTTGATTAGCTAGCTGCCTTTCCTCAAATTGATAACTTATTAATAAGGGACTGAAAACGCAGATAGCCCTCGAGTAGCTTTGAACGAAATAAAAAAAAGGAAACAAATACACTGTTGGATATACAAGACCGTCCACTTTAAGAGTTATTATTTAGTTTATTTAGTAATTTAATATTTAATGACTCTTTAGTTTTCATATCAAGAGTGTTAAAAGTTAATTATTTTAAAAGCGATAGTTATGACACATTTCGTTACGTAACTCTGTACGAGTCGTACGTTATGTATGCAGTTTATTTGTTGTACTAGGCTTTTCTAATACTACTGACGTCATATTATACGAAGTTTCTATGTTTTTCTCGTTATGGGAAATACTGTTGTTACTAGAGGGTTAGATATTTCTACATTTGTCTGTCGCATGTTATAAATACGTGCAGATACAGAGAGGAAGTAAGTTAGTGAAAGTAAAAGTGAAAACAAGAGGGAATCCTCAATAGCAGGGGCATTTGAAATTCTTTTAGGCAGGATTAGAGTAAATTAATCTATGAGACCCATTTTTTCCACTTTTTACTCTATATTTTTGTGCGCCAGCAATACCAAGCGTGGGGCATGCGTATACCCGATTCAATTTTATTACTCATCATGATCTCTACCAGCCTACTCTCAAATTCTCTTATGCAAGATTAGAGACCTTGGGTTTGGTCAAATACATCAGTCGAAAGGGTTGGATCTCCTGAGTCCAAAACCGTAATTAGATTTCAAATCAGCCAAGAGATCACGGAGCTACAAAGCTAAAGGTTTGTACTTGAACAAAACAAACTCAGAGCCATTCTATAGCCATTATGCCGCGGCTAAAATGTGATTGTCAGTTTAACAATAACGGGCGGTTTCTAAAGTGAAAGTATCACAACTTGTATTTCAGTAACAGAAATAGAGAAGAATAAACCGTTTTGTCACTTGGGACCTAAATTAATTGAACCTTCTCCCCCCCCCCCCCGTGTGGACTTTTGACGAAAAAGAGACAATTATTTAAAGCTCTGGATACAACTGTGATGACCAATAGTGTAACGAATTTCGATACATGCCTTTGACTTGTTTTGAATATATTATTTTAAAACAAGTGGAGTGTGTGTTGTCCGTTTATTGTTGAAATTTATCGCCAACCACTCACAGACTCTTACTGTAAAGAATCTGGCGTTATAAAAGCCTGACATACAAAAACAATTATCTTATACTCCATTGTACACAGAATAAAGACGAAGAGGATATTACCAAAATCAAAAGTTGTTGTTACTTTAAAAACAGTTGAAATCAAACCTGGCATTACTTCGTTTTCCCATTCATAATAGTTTTTGTTGTCTGAACAAATAGCGAAATAGTTTTCGGTTGTTCATTTCTTGAATTTTTTTTTCAATGTAGTCAAGTTGATTTTTCTAATTATAAAACATTGTATATTTAATCGCAAGATTTTGGATTACACCCTCATCTTTCGATTGAGCTCAATAAATATATATATAAACAACAAAAAGAAGGAAGAGTTAGAATTGCATCACTATAAGATTCTGTTTCAAATATGCTTTTCATAAACTCTTAAAATTATCAGTAAACATTGATTGTTAAACTATAATTTGAAATTAATTAAATCAATCTTTAGATAAGGTCTGTAATATAATTATGTGAAAAATGCAACTTATTAAAATTTAACGATAAGTTTGTTTCAATCATGTGCAAGTATTCTGACATTAAATAATCAGTTATATTATGTAAAATATATTTCACCATTAACTATTTTATTTATCAAAGGCTAAAGAATGAAGAAAAAGATGAAATAATTTGATATTGCAACTAATTTCAAATAGCAGTATTTGTTTGTGTTCGATTTTTCAAAGTGGTATCTAGTAAAACAAGGATTTACTTAAATTAAAGAACAAACAAAATGGTTTAAAAATAATTAGAACTCAATTTATATATTTATACATACATATGTGTATACATATCAGTTTCTTATTTTAAAGTCTTGAATATTTCATGAATTAATTCAGTTCACGTGTGTATCCTATTTTTTGGATTTAAATAGAACGATAAAAACCCTATAACCCGAGCGCTTTCGAAAGTGCTCGGTTTATAGGGATTTTATCGTTTTATATTAAGACTTCTTGAACCTACATGTTTCTTCTGACATCATGTTTGGATTTATGTAGTATTTAACAAGACGGTCCGTTTGAAAATGAAGTAAGTCACTATTAAGTTTATCATCAATAACAAAGATCACTGCAGCTTACTGAGCAATCGTTTTCTCCAACATAGCACAAGTCTCCAGAGGCACTTGTGGCAACCCAGATGTGGTCTCCATTGACAGCAGTCTCCTAAAGAAAAGAAAACAGTACATGATTTTAAAATTGGAATATTTTACATAAAAAACCTGATAGCTTTATTGCAATAAAAAGTTTAAAAGCGTTTCACTTTTAAAATATTCAACACTTTTGTTAAATAATATTTCCTTCATTGTCATTACTATCAAGCTGCTTTCTATAAGTAGCTACATTTTGACTAGCTAAACATCAAAGGATAAATTATCGATTGAGTTAATAGCTTCTCATGTACACAACAAATATATTAACAGGTGCAACTGAAAGGCAGTGAAAGTGCCTCATAATAACGTACATTGTGTTTAGGATTATTACTTAAATAATGTAAAGCTAAACTTCCAACCTCTCACAACGTAATCATCTTTGCAGTCATAAACAATGGAAATGGAAGATCATTGTCGTTATCTGACTTATTCTAGTAAACAAGTACTATTGGTGAAGAATCAATTTCGTATTTCCCTTCAGTTCAGTTAAAATGCATTTTAATTACATACTGTTAATGACACTTTGAAATCTAAACAAGATGATTTCAAAATCATGCGAATGAACAATAAAACTTGTAGAACCAAGAAAACTAGGAACCAGAACACTTCTTAGAGAAGTATTAAGCAGTTGTCTATTGACAATTGAAAATAAGATTTTATCTAAGACTAATTATGAAAATAGTTGCCATTTAAAATGCTTGTTGATTAGAATACTGGGGTCACATTCAAACAAGCTAATATATAAACATTTTATTTTAATTTTATGATTAACATAGTAAGGTCACATTAAAACAAGCTAATATATATACACACTTTATTCCAATTTTATGACTAACATACTAAGGTCATATTCAAACAAGCTAATAGATAAACATTTTCTTCCAATTTTATGACTAACATACTAAGGTCATATTCAAACAAGCTAATACATAAACATTTTCTTCCAATTTTATGATTAACATAGTAAGGTCACATTGAAACAAGCTAATATGTATACATTTTATTCCTGTTTCATGACAAACATATTAAGGTCACATTCAAATAAGCTAAGATATAAACATTTTATTCCAATTTTACAAGTCATCATTCATACTAATCGTTTTTATGCTTTGTTTCAGCATACTTACAGCATTTGCTGGTTTCAAATGGTTGGAAATCAGCTATGATAAGCTTAATTATGTATAAAAAATATTTTTCTACAGTTGTTGTATATTATTAAATATATTATTATTATTAATTTTTTCACATAAACAAAATGAATGTAATTCTATAAAACATATGAAGTGAAATATAAGCTGAAAGCGAATCCATATTTTGGGAGCAATATTTTATTTGTACAGTCTAATATCCAATAACTCGATAAAGGTTAAAAAACGACAGCTTCTCTATTTATTTTTCATTGTTTCTAACACATCAATTTTCTAATACGAATTCAATGTAAACATGTAATTTTTTCCTACCAGAGTTCTTACTAAGTAATTCGTTAACTAATCAATTGTAAAGTTTAACACACCCTAATTAAACATTGGAGTAGGTTTAGTTTACTTTTGCTATTTGTTTTGTTTAAATATAGCTACTTTAGCAAAAATGAATTTTTTTTATTGTTTTGTGTACTCTGCAATAATATATTCTATCCAATTTTAGTTCAATAAAGGGAAACTTACGCCCCAATCCGGAAAGCCATGCAGTATTCTTGTTTCTCCATTTTCTGTGGAAATCTTAATTTCTCCCTGAATTGCTTTTCTGAAAAATTAAAACGAAAGATTGAGTAAGTGTAACGAAACGATTGTTGCATGCCGAACCGTCAATCAACCGATTTTAAAGTTTGTATCATTCGAGGCTCGGAGAAGCTAAGTAATATTTTATACCATTAGACCTATAATGTATAAAAGTTATTTTAAAAATCGGATTAATATTTAACAGTGGTTCGAAAATTATTGGAAACTAAAGAAAATATGTAATGAATAACTAAATATGTAATAAAGTATGCAAAAACGCAGCTTTTAAGGCAATTTTTATTAAGGTTTCAAATTGCTCAAAGAGCATCCAACTTTCACTGAAATGTGTCTTGTACAGTTGCTGCCTTTTCTAAAACATATAAAAGGATATCTTTATAGACTTGAGTGATATTTTCTTGAAAAAAAAAACATGAAAGTCAGCAAAATTTGCACAGCTATGGAGCAAAAATTGAAAAACGTGATTAAGGTTTTGAGTTGCTATGGCAATCTGGATAAAGATATGTTTCAAAACGTTTAGGGTTAAATTTGCAAAAACGTCAGCAAATTTGATGGCAATCGGCCACAATGAAAAAGTTGGCAACATAAAATGTAGTGGGCTTTATAGAGATAATGTGAAAAGAGGCGATACCCCAGAGAAAAGGATAAAGCTACTCATTTGAAAAAGTTATCACAAATTTTATTACTTCTAGGGATGGTACAAATAATTTGGCAAAAATGAAGTTTTGCTCCCCTGGGTGGTACCGATATCTAGTTGCCCGTAGACTATATAAACTACATCAACTAATCTAAGGATTAGTCATCAAAATTTCTCAATGTTTCATAAAATATATTAACCAATAACCAACCAACAACAAGTCCACGCTCTCTTGACCCTTCAATATTTGTTATATTTTTATTTAAAATTCTCCATTTTTGGCTAACTTTCTCCATCTTCAAATTTCTGCATATTTCCTATCATATTTCTTCCGCAGTAGTACAGTACACAACACAACGGTTCCGCACTTGATCTGTCCTCGTCTTATTCACCACTTTAACTTATATATGAATGAAGGTTGAATTGTTTGTTTGAAATTCGCGCAAAGCTACACGAGGGCTAGACGTCCTTAATTTAGCAGTGCAAGACTAGAGGGAAGGCAGCTAGTCATCACCATCCACCGCAAACTCATGGGCTACTCTTTTAGCAACGAATAGTGGGATTGACTGTCATATTATAACGCCCCCACGCCTGAAAGGGCGAGTATATTTGGTGGGACGGGGATTTGAACCCGCGACCTTCAGTACTAGAACATAAATGATACAACGACATATATCCAGGACATAACGTCCTTTCCTTTTAATAATTATCTTCATATAAGGTTCATATTTGGATAAAATTGTATAGACATACTACTCGGAAGAAAATGTTAACATATCAAATGTGACCATCACTTTGAACACAAATAAACGTTTAATTTTAAACTATTTATTTTTTATAACACTCACCGCCTAAAGAAAATTTTAAGTCTCAAAATGTACTAGAACAGTCAAGCTGAAATCATTCAAAACATAACACCCTGATTTTATAATGTATTTTCGTGAATTAGAAGGGTGAACGCAAAGATAATTGTGGGTAAAGATAGTCCTTGATAATTTTTAACTCATATGTAATGCGACCATACAGTATCTCGTAATGCAAGTATCACTCTTAACTTGCAAACATACACTAAATATATAAATTATATGTCAGTAACTACTAACTTGAAGTACTGTTCAAAATATATATATATTACACAGAGAATTTTTATGAATATTGTACAGTTCATGTCGTAAAACATAAACGTTGCAAACAGTTATAAGAAGATCATTCAAAAACAATGATGCATTGTCTTACGCCTAACAAAACGTAAACCACTATACGTGACCATAGTAGACATGAATACAAAACTCTTTGAAATTCCAATGTTTTTACAGAACATTTGAAATGTGTAACTTATTCATAACCGACGACTAAGCGGTATTGATATGATAATAACGCACTTGGATCTCCATGGAAAATATTTCATGGCAGATGAATGAACGGACGGAAGTGGGTAGATTGATAGAAAGAAAAATACTGATTTATGATTATACGCAACGAAAAGATGTTATCAGAAACAAAGTAATTCAGCCGAATCGCGGTTTTGCTTGTTTGTAGACAGACACGTGTGTAACAAGCCTCTTGGATACCTGATATCTTCCAAGAGTGTACGCACATAGCTATAATGTATGTATAGATCAAATGAGCTTATAACATTGTTTCTACTGTTAAACAATAAGAAGTTAGTGTGTGAACTACATGGAAGTTTCAACGCTCAAACTAAATCATATTGAATTCCCCAGATAAATAGCATCTGTTGATGTTAACTTTTCGAATTATAAGTATCCCTTTGGCCGGATTCAGTAAGTGAATAAAGGGGTAAATTTACGAACCTAACAGATGTTACATTAATACAAAGAGAGGCGGGGAGTGCTCGAGCCTACGAAAGAGATAAGGGATTTGAAGAGTGCTTTAGGATAAAAGTACTTAGACTTTAGTGTATGTTTTTGCTTGTTCGATGATACAGTCCAATCGATATTTCAAGAGGCGAGCGAATCATACAGAATTGAAAAGAAAAGACAAAAAAATGTTTGTATAAAATATTTGATATTGCAAGGAGCAGACAAAAGTTCTCCAACTGATCAGACTAGAGGCTCTCAAGTTCACGAACCAGTTGTACAGGAGATTATCTTGAGTGACTGTACAGGAGAGTATCATGTGTGATTGTACAGGAGGGTATCATGCATGATTATACAGGAGAGTATCATGTGTGATTGTACAGGAGGGTATCATGTGTGATTGTACAGGAGGGTATCATGTATGATTATACAGGAGAGTATCATGTGTGATTGTACAGGAGGGTATCATGTATGATTATACAGGAGAGTATCATGTGTGATTGTACAGGAGGGTATCATGTATGATTATACAGGAGAGTATCATGTGTGATTGTACAGGAGAGTATCATGTGTGATTGTACAGGAGAGTATCTTGAGTGATTGTACAGGAGAGTATCATGTGTGATTGTACAGGAGAGTATCTTGAGTGGCTGTACAGGAGAGTATCATGTGGGATTGTACAGGAGGGTATATTATGTGATTGTACAGGAGAGTATCTTGAGTAACTGTACAAGAGAGTATCATGTGTGATAAGCTGAGGTACCCGTCCTTTGCCCGGGGTATGAACTTAATAACATGTGGAGACGGATGCTATAGTAAATAACACAATAGTCATAACTTTCACACAATTTATTTATAACATAATACATTATTACAATATTCCTTATTACCTCACCAAAAGGTTTTCATAAGCTTTAAGAACTAACTATGCATATACTTAAAAAATGGTATACACTGTGCGAAGGTCAGGGTGATTTTGTAGAAAGAGGTAGCTGCAAAAGAGGTGGCGGTAGGGGTGCTTTCTGTTACCCGCTTTCAACACCCAGCCTTAAATGTCCTTCCACACTGTTTCACGTTAATAATTAATTAACAATCATTGGCTGCAGATGTGTCTTATGGGCCGAAGTTTTAAGGTCACGGTTCAAAGTAGGAAGTGGGTATAACTTAAGAAATGACTCTTCATATCAGCCTTATTGTGGTTGTTGGAGTAGAAACTTCATCTGAGTTTATGTATTATTGCAATAGTGGCGGATACTGTTTTTCCACTACATTCCTCAATATAGAGTACTACTGCACTCTCTGAGATATATAAGACGTATGTGTGCCCTCCCTTACACTGTGTGTATGTTGTGCTATAGAAAATGTAATGAATATTTTTGGCGGGGTAAAAACATGGCGCCATCTATGAATGTAGTTAATGTTAACTAACATCAAAGATAGTAAATGCTCAATAACAGCAATAATGGGGATTGAGTAGGTTTTAAACCACCAGTAACATGCCCGTTATTTCAAACTATCATCCCAAAAAGTTTGGTTGAGTTTGGTCCATCGACCTAGGAGTAGTTACATAACAGACAAAACACAGACATACAGATTTTTTTGTGCTTCATGTATATATTGATTGTACAGGAAAGTATCGTGAGTGGTTACACAGGAGAGTACTTTGAGTAATTTAAATTTGATAATGAGGAACCTACTTTTTGGAAAATAACAATTTTGAGACGGCTTGACCGGGTAATGAAAAAAGTGTATTATAAATGTACGACGTTTGGACCTGAGGATAACAAAATCTTGTCGAAACGTCGTACATTTATAATAAAGATATTTTATTACTCAGTGAAGCAGTCTCAAAACTTTTATCTCAAGTGATTCTACAGAAGAGTATCTTGTGTGATATTCTCAAATATTTAGTTATGCTCCACCTTAGAGTAAAATTAAAGTGAAGAGAAACTCGTAATTGAAGACAGGAAATAAAATCAGCCAGACAAGAAGATTTAAACACTAAATGCTGCATTCAAGGCATAAGACACACTTAAACCTGATGAAGGAATGTACAAATCAGCCAATGGAAGAACACAAAACTTAGAAAATAAATAAAGATGTTTTTGTTTCAGATTTTCGCACAAAGCTACACAATAGTTATCTGCGAATAAACATTCTTAATTTTAAATTGATAGACAGAGGGAAGGTAACTAGAAAACAGCTCCCGCCGCCAATTCCTGGGCTACTTTAATCGAATAGTGGGATTTAAACGTCACTGATAAAGGAATTCTGTAGTTGTGGTGATACCTTGGTGTGGTCAAATTATTGGTTTGTGGCTTAATTAAGTCTGAGTAGTATAAGTTTCAATTTCACATTAATAATAGTAGTCTGATTCGCTCAAACCCAATTAGCAAAGAGACGCTGTTTCTCACTTTTTATATTCCAAAGAAAACGATTTCATGGAATAATAAATAGTTTTTATGCTAATCGATAGTAACCTGAAGTTAATATGAATTATACAAAATTGACACAAATGAATAGATGTAACACGTTGAATTTTGTCAAACA